TCTACAAAGAAAAAAAATAGTTATATAAAAAACTAATATATCGTTTAATTGAATAACTGCTTTCTAGTCGTTTTATTGGAAAAAATGGAGAATATTTTCCACTTAAATTCCACAAAAAAAAACACTTGATTTAAACCGTTAAGATTAAAAATGATTTAAATATTTTCCAACGTTTGCCACTCGAGTATTTTATTTTTCAATCGACGGTACAGACGTGAATAGTTGTCGGGCATTGCAATTGATTGCGGAGCAATCAAAATCAATGAAACGGCTTCTTCTGAATAAGTAAGAAAACGATCGGACCGAACTCGTTCCGTAGCGGACGAGAGATGTGGAAAGCCGATGGTCTTCTTTTCAATTACCTTTTACCTGGGAAGAAGTTCTTCGATCCACGTGACCAGAATAACTCGATATGTCTACATTCTAACTAGCAGTATAACGGTGAGATGCAGTGATTGTTATATTAATACTATGTGGAAACAATAGTGCTTCTCTATTTGTCTGAAATTAATTTTCTATTTTGCTTCTTTTCACAAATGTCATTTTACAAGAATCGGCGATTCAAAATTATAATATTTTTATGTAATTTTATTTTTTCGATTCTCACAGTTGCGCTTTGTATAAAAAAATATTTTATTTTTTCTATAATTCTCGCAACGAGTCGTTTCGAATAAATCGCGGTGCGACTGCGTTATAAATAAATTATACTATCAATATAAGAGAAATGTAACAAACTGTTGGATAGTATTTTAATAATTCTGAGAAGTCCAAATGAGGTCGATAAGGAACGATATGGCGAAGACCGCACGGAAACAAGGTCTTCCTTTCAATTATCGTAGTTAAAATGAGTCCTTTTCCGGCACGTGACTCGAATATAGTGCCCCGGCTTCAGTCTGTATTCCTGACGAAGGAGTGACCAGGAGAACGTCCACTCTTGCCTGTTCTTTCGAGTGATCGACGAGGGTTGTGGAAATCCATTTCGTCCTTTTCCAGGACGAAGGTACACTGGCTGATAAATCAAACGCTCCACGCGGAAAACACGAGGCAGGCTGCCCGGAAGGATCTCATTAGCAGGTCCTGCCTTCGAAGCATTTGAGCCCCGAGGGTAAAATATTATCCGAGACCTTCCGCTCTGCAATAAACAAACCTGCTAATCTAAATTAAACTTAGAAAATTTTATTCAACTTATCGTGATGATTGAAGATTGGCGATAGCATTAATTTCATTCTGTTCGTCATTTTCGGCTGCTTCGCAGCTATCGGTTTTAGATACGTAGCTAATGTTCTTTTAATATTTAAATATTAAAAAATTATTTCAATATTAAAAGCAGAGACTCACAGGATGATATTTCGGCCCAAGAAAATATTTAATAACTATTCCGGTTCCAGTTTCGGGTTTTTAGTTGATAAAACAGAACCGGAATCCTTTAAATAACGGTTTTTTCGGTTCCGATTACGATTTTTCTAAAATATTTTTTTGTACATAATAATTTTCAAACACAAAATAAAGCGAGATTTCCAAAACATCTGATTATTCTGTCCGGATTTCAAAATTCATATAAAATGCAAATAAGAAGCATACAGTCAGACAACGAAGTTATTGCGTGATTGCTGCTATTTACTTCTAATGAATTGTCATCTCGTATACGAACATACCATAATAAAATCTACATATTTCTATACTGTATCGAAAATTTCTTAAGCGCTAAAATTACCGCCATTACCATTTATTTAATTACCTTGCTGTAAAACGCGCCGCACAATTTCTTTCTTGCTCTTTCGTACATTTCGCGAGACAGCGCCTTCTCAGAATTACCGGCATTCGAATCTTTTACGATAACGTAAGCTCACCCGTTTTTAATCAGTACCTAAAATTGGAATGCTAATTCGAATATTGCCGGGGGCGAATAAGAAAGCGACGAATCCGCGACGCGCGTTTTGAGACGCCGCGGCAATTTCCGACAATAATGAATCGCGCGAAGATATGAGGGAGCAATTAGGAAAGCCAGACGAGAAGTAACGCCGCCGTACAGAATCGAGTAAAGAAACCAGCGACTAAAACACTCCATGGAAAATTACAGTAACTCGGAAAATTGCATTCCTTCGCGCGCGCGCGCGAGCCGCGGCCGCTATGCGGTGACACTTGATTATCTCCCGTTTAAACGAGGGGTGCGAAGAACTCGCGCTTCCGGTGTCATTAAGTAAATTCGCGCGGTCACTTGGGACGCAGATTAAAGACGTGTGTTATAATAACTCTGCGATTCAGAATGCAGTCGCGGTAATGACGCAGGCAGGGAATGCTACGTTACAGTGCACATGACAACCGAAAGCTGGCGGCGCGAGGAAACAAACTCGCTATTAAAAGCACTGAAGTGCTCTTTCTCACTCTGGCGTAATGTAATTATTTAACAGCATAATTACACGTATACTTACGCGCGGCTGGCCACCGCTGGGAATAGAATCTTATTACGATCACACACGAGTGTAAGTTATAGTTGAAGTTTGTTTTTCTTTTTTTTTCTGTGAACTATATTCTTCCCGTTGCAATTAGCGATAATACAAAAAGAATTAATATTGTATGTAATAATGACGTGAAATTAAATTGCCCGCTCAGAGTAATTTTGTTCTTTGTTTACGTTGGGACGTCAAAATGAGAATAAAGTGAAGTCTTTATTGGATCTACGCTGTTATTACGCGAATTCATTATTTGATTACTTACTCAGCGCGTCGAAATTTGTTTCTTCCAATTTTTTGCGCCGTCATTCCCTGCTCGAGTGTTTCGCTTTCCTCTTATTTTCGCCCCTCAATTTGCTTAAGTGCACGATCACATGACCGATCTTTCCCCGACGCCCTTTGCTGTAAAATTTTGCTCATTACCTAAGTAGCGGATAAGCGGTCAGGCGCGCACAACTAACGATTGTCTAGCCATGTGTGCGGTCGATTGTGCGCAAATTACACATGCACGTTTGGCCAGCCACACCGATGCGTTCTATCTGGGGATTTCGTAATGTATTCGTACGTTCGTAACGGCAAAATTCACGCGGAACACTTAGTTAGACAAGAAGTGACGTTCACGAGGATGATAGTTTTCCTCAGATTTGGCTAAGGCAACTTTGCGCGGAGTCTGTCTTCTGTTAAATTTACGAACTGAGATTCGATTCGCGCTATTTCTATATCGATTATGACAAACCGATCGGCATCGATAAAAAAATATTTATTATATAATTTACATTCAGATATTTTTATACTACTAATTTTTATTGACATTAATTGGCATCGATAGTTGACATTGATTATTGGAGAAAAAAATAAATAAAAATTTTATATTTTTTAGTAACTTTTAATACGTGAAACAGTTACAAAAATATAAAGAAAAAATTGCTGCCAATTGTGGCCTTCAATCAAATTGTTACTAAAGCGAAATCAATTTTATGTCCATGAAAAACCCACGAGTTATCGTACTGTAACTCTGACTTTTGGAATATTTGATTTAATGGAGGAATGGCTTCGAATATCACCATCTGGTAAGCAGAAAAGAAAATAAAAGAAGATAATCTATTGAATTTCACAAATATATACGATAGAAGTAAAATGAGAAGGTGAACTTCGATAACCTTTGGTCAATCAGCTTAGTACTTTCATGAATCGCGGGATATACGGCGTAGTTCAATTCATAAGAGAAAGGATGAGATTGGTGCTTAGTTCCGAATCAAAATTTTATTATACGTACCTTATCATTTGCTCGACAGCGTTAGAAATAATCGCCTTAGCTCTCTCGTCGTTGAAAGTAAATCGATTTGCTCAACGGTAAAACTGCGCTTGACGGAAACAAAAGAAATCGATAACCATTTAGCTCATAATTATCTTCAAATTTGACGATTCCGATATTTCTCTCGCTCCTTTTATTTCTTAGTGTCACTTTGATAAGGAAAATCGGGGTATCGGTTTCCATTCCGCCGTTCGTCATAATAGACTTCGTTATTTCTACGCGCATAGTTGCGAAAAAATTCAACAGCATGAGACGAAATGGATATCCGCGGTGTCGACCGGAAGAGACGAGGGGAGGGAAGGATAAATTGCGCGGAATTGAAGTATAATACTTTTGCCATCACGAGTGCTTCGTGCATTTTGATTAAGCTCCAAACTAATGTACATATAAGCTGCGGAAAGTTTTCCAGAAATACCTGCTTTTTAATCAGCGCAGTTACTCTTTATAACAAGATCGCGAGAGATACGCCGCGTAATGAAGCACCCTTACAATTACGCTTCTTACAAAGTGGGCTCTCCGCCGCATCAATGCAACTTACAGTTTCTTAACAACTTACGGGGAGGAGCTTGCATATTAAACTATTTTGAGCGTGACTTGTCCGTCCTGCGGTTTCGCGGCCATTTCTTTTACATTATTTTTATATTACAAGTGGATCGCGGCGCATTAATCGCGGAAACGATACATTTTCCCTCTCGAGGAAAGTTTCAAACAGTTTCAAACATTTTTATTAAAAGATGAAGCGTTTATGTCTGCAGATAAAACGGATCCGATTGCAGTATCGTGCGTCAGCACATCAACTGTCATTACCGAGCGAGCTGCACGCGATAGAATAATAATTGCTCACGTTAGAATCAACTAAGTCCGTTAAAATTATTGTCTCGGCACACCTCCATTAAGCGGTGCAATATTAATTTCATTTGTTCGTGAAATAGCACGTCGAGATGCGCGCTCAGCGTCAGCAAGACGTGGAATACGAATGTTATCGTACCCTTTTCAACCGCGCCGCTATGATCGTTAAAGCAGAACTGCGTATAGCAGTCGCAATCATGGTTTATGCGAGAGAACGGAAACGAGGATAATTGTTGCAAGAGTCGTATCACATTCATTGGATCGTATGATACACGCTGGAATATTTAAGAAAGAAATAACGCTGAAAAATGTCAGGCTTTGAGACACGTTATTTCTGCAAAGAATAAGAAACTTTTTTTTAATTAAACAATACAAATATTGTAGGTTTTTTAAAATTATATTATGCATAATATACAGTGCAGATATTTTATACAAGTTTTATCCGTTTTTAACAAAGATTTGCAGCGTATACTACTTCGTAATAGCATGTTTGACAATGTGGCTAACATATATATATGTGTCGTAAATAAGAAAAGATGAAGTTACAAAGAATCGATATTGATAAAATATTACCTATTATTTTAGAATAGTGTGTGTGCTTAAATATATATAAAGTATATATCATTCATACCCATCTTTTCGTCGCGATAAAGTTCTGAATTTCTCTACAACCATCTATAATTACAATAGAGAGTGTAACGGAAATATTGTAAAAATATAACAATTTCAAGTATTCTTGCTTTAATCAGACACAGTGTACGAATGATCGTCACACACATCGCTAAACACTTATTTGCTCGTATAAAAAAGTGAAATTTACACGTTTCTTCGATGTAACACCCAAGAATTATTCTTACATTTGAGCAAATATCTTAATAGGGTCGCAGAATATTCTTTATGCCAAATTTTTCGTGTACACCTACAATGTTCGTGCATTCTTAATGTTTTACTCACTAAAAATCTAGAAATCTATAAGTGTAGATATAAGATGATATATTGTTATAATTGCTCAAATGAAATCATCTTTGTACTGCAATGCAAATTTGTTCAAACTCATTATATCCAGCTATATTAACATATTTTCGGTTTTATTCAAGATTTCGGTAGTAATTAATAGAAGTATAACTCATTGTATAAATAATTATACTTTTTCGATAGATTGATAAATTCGCGAGACAGTATATTATATCATTTTCAATCTTATGTACTTTGTATACAAAAAATACGTTTTGAAAATCCCTTATTTTTGTCTCACACAATTTACGACTGCTTAATTTACAATAGGTAACTTTGCAACATGCTCTCGCGGCAACACACTTTCCGCATGTTAAAATTACACGAATCTTATAATTATATTCATATGCTTCACATTCGGCATCGTTTTCATATATTCGCGTTTTTTCGCTCGACTCATCAATGATCTGTAACGTAATTAACAAATTGGATTAGAATGCTGCAATATTCACTCAAACATTGATCAATTTATACATATCATATATATAACAAGTGTAACAAATATTTGTACTTCATTCTAATCATGGAAAAAAAATATAATTAAAAAGAACATTTAACTTTTCTCGTCATTTGCTTGCCACATTTGAATTAAGCGTTCGTTTAGGCACGCAACTTCCTATTTTTTATGTACAAATACGTAATTTATGCATGTATTTCCTAAACCATGTGAGATGTGTGCAACAATTTATGAATGTAAGTCATAGAATTAAACTCGATCTGTGCTATCTTAGACTCATATGTAAATTCTCGACAATATTTCGTCATTAAACAGGATTAGTAAGTTTTGGCATACGTTCACGTATGAATATACATGACTACTTAGTAAGCCCCTCCGCTCAATTTATGGGAAATAAGGCATTAAGATAATGCACCGTAAGTGGCATAAATCATTGAAATAAATATGTGGCGTTCCTGGCGTCGGTAATTTTCGACGCGCCGCTAATTCGACAATTGTTCCTTTCAGTCAATCCGCGTTCTAACGGAGCGCGAATTTCTCCGAAGTTTGAAGACCTCGCAAAAACAACCGAAATGTTTTACGCAAACGTGTGCGGCGAATGACGTACGATGGCGGCTCGTTTCGCCTGGCAGGAAATGGCGCTCCAGTTAATTGCATTGCGTGAATCGCGCGATGCAAGTCCCCCGTTACCTTTTTCGCCCCCTTTAACTTGATTCGAAAAACACGCCGGCCGGCGAGTTGATGGTCGAAAAACACGGCGCGAGCTGTTCTCCAATCTCCATTAGACGGATGCGTGCGCGCGCGCGCGGGCGTACTCGATGCGTTTTAACCGATTGATGCCGATAAATAATGAACCCGGGACCGCGGGCAATTCCGTTATGTAAATCCGCCGGGCTACGAAATAATTGAAACGCCAATGTAACTAGCGCTCGCCGCACTTGGCCCGCTGGCGTACCGCAAGTGAGGTATTGTAATCGGTGCGCGCCGATGCAACCGGTCGCGTGCTGCATCACGCGCGCGAGCACGCGGATAAATCCACCAGGGTCTAAATTAGAAATTTACAAAGGCAATGGCGCGGATAATCAGCGCCCCGTGTATGATAAACGATACGCCGCGCGTTGCTTTTAATTAGCGGCGTTTCCCGGCCGCATTACCGAAGGCGTCGCGTTCGTGCGTCTGCATCGCCGCAACTTAGCGCAAAAAAAGAAAAGGGGAGGATATACCGAAGAAGAGAGAGGAAAAAAAGCTTTTGTCCGGCGATATAAATAACGCTGCTTTTTACGCCGACTAATTAATGAACGGTTTTATCGTCCGCGTGCGCGATGCAGCAGCGGCAGCGGCGATGCGCGAACAAATGCGGGCGCGATAATAAAGGCCGGCATTATGAAAATCATGAAAAATTCACAACGCACGCACGCGGAAAATGTCTAGTGTCCGGCGCGTACATCGCACACCGCATTTTATGCGCTGATGCTGTCAAATTCACATTGGCAAATTCGTAACGCGCCGTTCTCTTCTCGTATCAATGGGACATATTTTAAATGAGGAGTAAAAAAACGGAAATAATTTCGGTTAGCTCTATTATGGAACACGTGTACATGATATTCATTTTTATATTTACCTTTGCAGTAATAATATAATAACTAACGAAAAGTATTTTCTTTTTCTTTATATTTGTAACATAAAAAGTTGTGAAGTTACTAAAGTTACTTTAATCTCAACTTTAAAATACTTTGTATCTTTAAATTTTAATTGCGTTTGTATAAATTATCGCATGCGTAATTTTTATATAAAAATGCTATTAAAAATGTCTGAATTGTGCGTTTTGACTTAATTCGTAAGTAATACAAAAGTGAATTTCGTGTGAAATTGGTCATTGTAGTTCTTGATCATAATAGCTTTCAACGGTTATGTTAAGCGCGATACAATGGAAATTTACTACAAAGCGTAACGTACAGCTACAAAGGCTTTCATTAACTTATCATATAAAACATGCGATGAATTCTACGAGAAGGCTTTGTTAGAGACGCTATTATTCATTCATAATGCGTGTAAATGTAAATTATGCAATGTAATAATTGACTAAAACATTGTATTTTTTTTAATTACGCAGCTTGACTTATATTTTACGAATGTCATGTGAATTTTTTATTTTATTGTAATTAAATTTTTGTCCTACTTTTGTGAAACAATTGTCCATATGTTTTGAATAAATTTCACGATTTGGATGTTTGTAAACAGAGCCCGTAAAGTACATTTATGTATGTTTTTTGTTCCTACAATTACATTAATTGCGTATAATGAGAGAATTAATTGAAACATTTAATGAGATACAATAAGAAGAATTAATTAATTTTACATATAAATATTATGATGCACTATAATATTACATTTCAAGAGAAACAAAAAGTTGGCGTAACTTAAAATATCTACTTACGAAAAACCGAAGTCAAGTATAATCTTCTCCGAAAAACAACGTCGCATTTTCATGAAACTTTCAAAAAATTTTATTATTAATTGGCGCCTTCTAAAATTAATTAATGTTTTCGTTTTTTGCTCAGAACGCTACAATGTCTCGTCAATTATGCCAGTGTTGATCCTGAAAATGCTTGATTATTATTATAAAACTGGAATAAGTATTTTAATCACCTATTTGCGGCAATCGATCTTTTAGTAAAACGCCCGTAGTCACGCCGAGTTCAGTCTCACGTTCCGCCCCTCGTGATGCAAGGTGCGCATATGTACGCCAGGACGATGCCGCCGCCGAGGACGAGCGCGATCATAGCCAAGGTCGTCCATACAGTGGAGGTCGAGGTGACGCGGGTCGGCACCAGCCTCTTCATCGTCGGCAACTCGGCGACCTCCTCGGTCGTCAGGCCCCATCTTCTCGCCTTGGCGATCAAAGACCTCAGGCGCCGCGACGCCTTCTCGCAGGACCTCTTCGACGTCCGCCTGGATAAGCCGTCTAAACAGTTCTCCAAGTGTCCCATAATATCACGACGTGTCTCATTCTTAAGTTAATCCAAGCGCCCGACGAGTTCCGGATCGTCGATCGAAACTGCCGAGAAGTTTCGGAGGCCACAGCGGAACGTATAAACCGTCGCGCAGGTTCTACCTTCCGCTCGACGCTACTTGCCCGATCTTGATCTGCGACATATTTTCCTCAGGTCGACAGAAGTGCTTTCCGAAGCTGCAACAGCCCTCTCGATTTACGCCGTTCTCCATTCGCGAGGAAAACAAATATTTTCCGGCAAATTAGCATCGTCGCATTCGCGCGCCAACGATTGGCGATATGATCAGTTTCTCTGATCATTATGAAAATTCCTCTGACGCCTTTGATGCCAGAATTACTTCGCGCGATGCACTCGTCTTTCACATATTTGACATTTTCGAACGGGAGCGTGTCGATGGGCGTGTAAGTGGATGAAAAACAGACTTTTATAATTATATATTTAGCTCTCTGCGTAATTGTTTATATTCTTCAACCACTTTATTTTTCAGCTTTTAATAACGAACAGCGCGCTCCGTCTGACCATCTAAAATTACATCAAAATAGATTTATTATTATCTGAAAGTTTTAATCAATAATCCATAAATGTGTAAAATTACAGCTTGCAAGTAAGACATTAATTTCTATGTAAAATATAAAGCAACTAAATTAATTTGCGCCATCTGCTTCTCGCAACACTAGAAATTAATTTTACGGCGACACTATAAATTTATATAACTTATTATTCGTGTTGAATTGTCAAGTTTTTTTGTAAAACGTCCCATCTTCTCGCGTTTTATTTTTGGCTTGTATTGCGCAATTGAGTAACACGGCCATTAATTTGCACGTCGATCGGAGCAATCGGCAAGTCGATGAAACCGGGATCGCTTTTAATTCTCTTTCGCACGGCCGGACTCGAGGAAATTGTAATTGCCAGGCTCCATGAATAATGCAGCACGAATCGAAGGAAAGAGAACCGAGTTCGCCTTTCAAGAGGGGAGAGGCGAAAGGGGCTGCGCCGCCGGTAAAAAGTTTCCGATCTGCGGACGAGGCCGTGCGCCGCAGAATGAATTAAGTTCTGCCTTTTAAAGTCGGTCGCTGCCGCAGAGGAATTACATTGTCGTCGTCGTCCTTATACGCGGAATTGCCGCGCATTATGTTCCGCCGCGAACTTCTCGCACGCGTTTCCTCGGCGCAGCCTCCTCGTCAGCGAGCAACTTTAAATTACATTTATGCCCATTTCACGTAGGACATATCCATCGTCGCGGTAATCGAAAATTTTACGAGCAACAACGAAACGAGTTCGCGCATCTCTCCTTCGAATATGTTAGACGGCCGGACGTATCGTCGTGTTAAAAGTTTTTCCCGCGTACGTTTCAGAGATAACTTCGCTTCGCTCGACGTTGACTCCGACTACTCGAAACTTAGCGCGTACTCGCGTTACCTGAAAACTGCAGCGGTAAGAATGTTTTACGACTAATTATGGTAATTATTTATTGTTTATATATTTTTAGGAACGATGGAAAAAGCAGATATTACAATTTCATTAGTTTTTCATCACCAAATCTTTTATTTATTAATCCATTGTTTTATGGGCAGCTAACGCGTAGGATAAGGCGTTTTCTTTATATCAAACTTGTAAAATCTATAAAAATTGTAAATTGTGATTGTTTCATCGTTCTTTTTAAAAAAATTTATATTATAATTTTAATTGCGAATTTCGTCAAACTTTTTCCCGATGGAATAAATCCCCTGCAATTTCAAATGGTCGTTATAGCATTTGTACCGGGTACAGTTTTTAATTTTCCCAACTTTAATTTTCCCCGCATTTTCTCCGTAATATTTCTGAAAAGTAGTTCCGCGCTTTTCCCTGAAAAACGCGTCGATTGTCTCACTAGTAGCAAGCATATAGGATGAAAGCCAAGAAGAATGCATTAAAAGGAAAGCAAAAATGATTTCGCCAGCTCTCTCTACGACGAGACGCTATTCGGACCATTACGTCTCGGAAAATAAGCTAAGTACAATCTGTGCTAATAAGTGCGCGACGTTTCCGACTTGGGTTTCGCGGTGACCAACTCTGAACTATATTTACGCGTTTATTTGTTTGAAATTCAATTTACGACCCGAGTATACGCACACACATACATACATATGTATGTATAATGTCATTACATACTCGCTTTACTCGATATTCAAACTATTAATAAACTTCTGGCTCTCTTCCACTGATTCTTTATATTAAATCTAATTATTTACAAGTAAATTATCGATTTTTCGATTATCGCTTCACACAGCAGAATTATTCTTTGTTGAAATGCAAAGTGCTATCTCAAATTTGGTCTCGAAAATTAAGCTCGATAATATCATAATGTATTCACAAATTATACAATGAGCTTACACAGTGAGAATTTATTAATAGGATCTTGAATTTCTATCGAAAATAAAGCGTAGCAGACATATATATTTTAGACTATAAATTTTCACAATTTATTTTCAATTAAATTACATTATTTTTTTTCAGTTTTGTTAAAAGCTTTGCGCCGCAAAATAGACGATTTGTTCAATCAATTCGTAATTGTCATATTTTTCGTGTATTATTTTTATTTCTAACAATTTTAATATGCGTATCATATTTTTTCGGTACTTAGATGTACATTTATATAATTTTAAAAATGCACGTAAATAATATTCTAGATATCAAATTCTTTGGCAACTTAACGGTTTTAAATCGACAAATATTCGATTCAGATATTCTTGCACGATAGTTTCTAGAGGAACATTATCCATTCTTTCGATAATTACTTTCAAACTTACACGAGACTTCTCTCACGTGTTCTGGCAGGATATGCTACAATTCCTCGAGTGTCCGTTCAACTTAATTCTTAATTGTGCCAGCTAGTCTCGTCACGGTTACATTATGCAGAGTGTTTAATAAGACTCTTGAGAAGAATATAGAATGCTGTAAAGTAAAATTACTCCGAGAATCTATTTGATAGCGACTCGAATTAATTATCCTATTATCGGCTATTTCACAAAAAAATATTGAAGTTGTACAAAAAGTAACAGTTAGCTGATAAAAATTCCACATAAAATATAAAGATAGCACTTTGCATTTAACAAAAAATAATTTGACTATATAAAGCGATAATCCAAAACTGCACATACAATGTGCGCTTTAATATATGTATATTTTTAATTCTTTTTGAGTCAATAAAGATCAATTCGATGTTAAAATAAAAATGCTACAATTTATTACACAAAAGCCACTGTAAAAGAAGTATCTCAAAATCACAAGTAATTAAAATGTTTTTCAAAATTATTGTAGAAAATTTCTTATATTACATTCTATTTTATGGTTTAATTTTGCAAATATACCACGCTAAAAATATGTCAATATTGTAACACAATGAGAGAGACGCATTTTTGAATAGCAATTATACAACATCTGGTTCCATATTTTTAGTGGATCACTTATAAAAAAAACCTCTCTTTAGGTAAAATTAATATAAACTTGTACTGTAAAGCGTACCTCTCTCCGATGTGCATAACAACTCGTTGCCACAGCAATTGTCATTAACAATTAAGCTACAGATACAGTCAGATTCACATCGATCAGCACATACAGCATTCAATATTTGCAGCTTTTTCATTATTCACCGATATTACAAAACAAATTTACTTGAAGCGCGTATCGAGCGAACGTTCATTATCGAATGGACATTTAATTTACAACATGAATAAACCAAACAAAATATATTTTCGAAAAGGGAAGATCTTTTTTAATGCGACAAAAGTTTTATTCATTCGCCGCGACTACGAAATTGTAGTCACCTTTGAATTAGCAAAATTTCTTTGCGACCACAATTCGATTCTTTTTTTCCACGAAAAATATGAATAAATGACTATCCTCCGATTTGCACAGAAATATCAGGAGACATGCACCGGCAGTTCGGTAACCACGTGACACAAGTTTTCACGTGCGAGCGCTGTATGCTGCGTCCTCGACGGACGTCGCGGCGCTTACTGCCACGGTGTCGAATGCCCGCGATCCTTTATGCGGCAGAACCACCCCCGATCACCCCCGAACACCCATCCGCCACGTCCGCGTCGGTCCTCCTCTCCCAGCGGCGACGCAGTGCGAGGCTATCGAGACTGTATGTTCGTCGGATCTTAACGCGGTTATGTTTGCAGAACACGATATCCCGTGTTGGCAAAGCCGAAATTAAGGCCGATATTAACCCTTTGACTATCCTCGCTACCCCTTGCGGCCATCGACTTATGAACTCGGGATATCCTTGGCGTATTAAAATTTTCGTTTCATTTATAACACTCGTCAGCTTTTATTTCGTCTTTTTTTATATGGTTTTATATATAGCATCCAGGTTTATTTTTACAGAAATGACATATTATCGATAATCACAGAGATTTCTCACAGAGATTACACCTAATTATAGAAAAAAAACCGGATTGCGTTGCGTATAAATTTGCGTTTAGAATTAATGATGCGTTTAGATTAAATTGTACACTGAAGATGGCCAAATCCTTAGAGCCGAAACGCATGTACAGTAATAAAGAATTAAAATAATAGAGCACGTTAACACAGCTCTAGCTTATTTTAACTAATAATTTATTGTGTAATAAAAGAGAGCTATCATAATTTATATATTTGTTTTAGAAAGAAAGAGAAGAGAGTGCTTAAAGAAAAAAAAGACAAACATATT